GAATGCATGCTGGGAGCTGCTACTTCCTATGTGTTGTGTAATGGTTCCTGTACTCCCCAAATGTTGCAAAATCTCCCCAAATGCAAATTCCCCTGGTATTTACCATGCGAAGTGCCTTAAAAACGTCTTGATTGTGGGTCTCTGAATCTTACCTCCTCCTCGGACATTCGTCTCAAAGTCACGCGCACGTGTGAGACCGGTGCTCACGCCGACGAGTGTTTCGTGAGCGTGAGGACCGTATCAAAATGACCGAACAAGACCAAGCCGAAGCCTGAAACGAACACACCTCAAAGCAAACACAAGGAGTTTGCCCCGTGTCAACTTCCATGGTTGGCCACAGACCAAGGCGCGAAGCCACACACCAGCAGCCCCGCAGACTGCCACAACTTATAGCCAGAAAGCTGGCAGGAAAACACTAAAGCTAAAATACACAGGTGCCATGCAGGTAGCAGTGACACTGTGCAGCAAATGGAAAAGGGGAAAAGCACGTAAGTGCACCCAGCAGAACCATGGGCTCAAGACCTTAGCCACACGCTGGATCCAAAGTCAATTATCTAGGGCCACTCACACTCAGATCATCTTCTGGAGAAAGTTCCGCAGGAAGAGAGAATGGAGGCACAGCTTCAAGTGAACAGATCTTCGCAAAGTCATCATCCGATGGTGACTCTGGTAGGGTCAGTGCGATTTCAGGCGGATGTGTCCAGGAGTATGCCGATGTGATCTCCTTCAATCCAACTTGAAAGCCAGGGTGTCCTTCGAGAGAAGACATAGGCTGATCTTGGCCGGTGGGGATTTCAAAGCCGGCCGGTGTCTCAGGACTAGGCTCGGAAACGCCATTCCCGGCGGCCGTAAGACCAAGCACAATGGGGCAATAAAAGATAATAAAAGGACTTGTCGTGAGAGTCACATGTCGACTCGAAGGCCTGTTCCAGTCCATCCAGAATTGATCTGATCCGACAAAATCGGGGCTTAAAGTCGAGCACTGCTTTGTCATCGCCAGGTTGAAAGTTGACCGCGGTGGTGCACTCCGGGGTCAAAGCATGTGCAGGCATTGCATCGACGCCAGCAGGGCTTGGAACGACGTCAGCAGAACACCGAGAGTGCCATGGCTCGATCGCGTGCTCTGAGAGCTCGAACCTCTGAACAGCCAAACAAAAACCATGCGAGACCTGAGCAAAGGCAGGACCAGCAGACAGACCTGACTTAGCAATGGCAAATCCTCATGGTGAGCAGTCAGCTCAACGGGACCTGAAAAAGTTGAACCATATGGTGAGGATACCGGAAGGGCCAAAGAGGGGCCACGCTCAACTTCCATGACCTGAACACCATCGGAGCGTGATGGCCAAGACGAGAATGAAGTATGAAAACCGTGGCCTAACCACAAGGAATCCATGTACCCAACCAGGGGCACAGGGACAGCCAAAGATGACCTGACCGCAGAATCAGAAAGGATTCTCATACGGAAGTCTTCATCCCTCCTACTTGCAAGTGCCTGCCACCAGACCCGAAGGGCGCCAACGGAGCACAACCCACTGAACAACCGCAAAGCACGGGCAAATTCAGTGGGGAAAGACAAACCAACGCCTTCGTCAATGAGTCCTGAAACCCACTCATTTTCCATCAGAAGGACCTGAAAAGACCCAGGGGGACAGAACAGAGAGAATGGGGCCACAGAGGGACCAAAGACACACTTCTCGAACTCTCAGAGCAGTCCCGCCTACCCACGCGGAGGGGGTTCGAGCCAAGGCTCTCTGAATCTTACCTATGATTATGTTAGAATCATTCTAAGAAGTGCAACAATTTGACAAAGAAATACTTCATGAGAAAAGAGGTTGAAAACAAGTAATCTTGATTAAAAAAGCAATTCATAGCAATTCTAATTCAAAGGTAGCAGTGTTGCGCTAAAACTTGTAATGCTTTTGTACCGGGCGCAACCTTTTTGAACAAACATGGAATTCCTTTGAAGAAGCAACTTGCGTATTTGACAACCACTTTGTTGCCCTGAACATGGAATTCTGTATTCGTCATACTCCTGTACGGTATGCAACCTTCTTGCGAAGATGCGCAATGCTTTTTCAAGAAACATGGTTGCAAAAACTGTATTGCGCTATGTCCACGAAAAATGTGTTCATATTGAGTAAGATGCGCTATGTAATCACCTACTTGCCATATTGCGACGCTCAGTCCGAGAAGAAAAACCTGCCGTTCACTCTGAATATGGACATCGGAATTGACGCTCGAATGGTGCTGCGCTCATGCAAGTGTTGCCTTCAGGCTATACAACTGTCATTCAAAAAATGAAGGGCCCATGCTGCATGTTCATAGAGTACTCCGTTCTAGAATGATACAGCATTCATGCTTAATACCTTTATCAAAGGAAGTTTGGAGGGCAAAGTTCCGTGTTACGAATGTTTACAATAGCAAAAGCATAGTTAAAGCAAAGCATAGCTAAAGCAAAGCATACCTAAAGCCATAGCTAAAGCAAAGCATAGCTAAAGCAAAGCGTAGCAAGAGCAAAGCATAGCTAAAGCAAAGCATACCTAAAGCCATAGCTAAAGCAAAGCATACCTAAAGCCATAGCTAAAGCAAAGCATAGCTAAAGCAAAGCGTAGCAAAAGCAAAGCATAGCTAAAGCAAAGCATACCTAAAGCCATAGCTAAAGCAAAGCATACCTAAAGCCATAGCTAAAGCAAAGCATAGCTAAACCAAAGCGTAGCAAAAGCAAAGCATAGCTAAAGCAAAGCATACCTAAAGCCATAGCTAAAGCAAAGCATACCTAAAGCCATAGCTAAAGCAAAGCATAGCTAAACCAAAGCGTAGCAAAAGCAAAGCATAGCTAAAGCAAAGCATACCTAAAGCCTTAGCTAAAGCACAGCATAGCTAAAGCAAAGCGTAGCAAAAGCAAAACATAGCTAAAGCAAAGCATACCTAAAGCCATAGCTAAAGCAAAGCATAGCTAAAGCAAAGCGTAGCAAAAGCAAAGCATACCTAAAGCCATAGCTAAAGCAAAGCATACCTAAAGCCATAGCTAAAGCAAAGCATAGCTAAAGCAAAGCATAGCTAAAGCAAAGCATAGCTAAAGCACAGGATAGCTAAAAGAACTGACAGCTAGAGAAGTAACATGTCAGCTTCCAGTTTTGAAGGAGGTCTCGCACGAAAGCTTCGTTTTGAAAACGATCTCTGTGACTGCTGTTACTTTTGAAAATGTCAGCGTCCAGTTTTGAAGGAGGTCTCGCACGAAAGTTTCGTTTTGGGAACAATCTCTGTGACTGTTGTCACTTTGGAAAATGTCAGCTTCCAGTTTTGAAGGAGGTCTCGCACGAAAGTTTCGTTTTGGGAACGATCTCTGTGACTGCTGTCACTTTTGAAAATGTCAGCTTCCAGTTTTGAAGGAGGTCTCGCAGGAAAGCTTCATTTTGGCAGGCTTTCGTTTCCTGTACGATCTTCCTTATCAAAACGCTTCAAAATCGCACTTTTTCCGCTTTGGCGCTGGAAATCTGGTTTCGTGACAGTGACGGACGGTCTGCGCAGAGGGAAAAACAACCAACAAAAACACCAGACATAAAAAACACCAGACAAAAACAAACACGTGGAGACCACGTATAGGCACTTTTGGGCTGGGACATCTATAGGCACCGGATGTCTTTGGGTTATAGTTACTTATAGTTACTTACCCCCTGAAACTTTCGCCCCCGGCTTGCCCGGCTACTTTAAAGAAACAAGTGTTGTTGAAAGGCGCTGTGTTTCTGCCAAACATGTGGTAATATGGTATTGTAGCACTCATTTTTTGAAAGAGTACTATGGGCGTGTAATGTGGGCGTGTAGTTTTTTCAAAAAGAACCTTTCATTCAGGATATTCAGCATTTGCACACCTTTGACAAACGCGTTGAAAATTCTTTAAACATATGCTTCGGTTTCTGAAGCTGTTCTCATGCAAAGAGGAAAAACATCATGTTCACGGTGTAAAGAATGCTCAAGCGGAAGGAATAGTAGCTTCAATTCAGCAATAGCATAGCACAATGCAGACAGTTTAGGGCAACACTAATTGCATGCAAGCCAGGTGAGGTCGATTTTACAGTCATGGGAACAAACCTTGACAAGAACACAAACAATTTTTCATACTTTGTTCATCATGTTCCCAAAGGTTTGATGCCTTCTTGAGAAAATCAACTTGATAAGACCTGCGAACCCCACTGCAAAGGGAGAAAGCACGTACGTTGTGAACACACTGGCAATCTTGAGAGATGCTCTTGGGAAACTCCCTGTCAAGACACGCTTGACAGACACTCTTGGGAAAGATACTGTCAAGACATTCTGGAGTCAAGGCCCGTTTGACTCTGAGGGAACACTCTGCCAGGCACTGTTGGGGAATCTGGGAGAGCACTCTTGGCAAACGTGCTTTGGAACAATATTTCCCAATCACAGCGCGCGCAGAACACAGTGAAAACACACCGGGAGATCTCAATCACAGCGTGCACAGAGCAGGGTGAAAACTGCACGTTGGAGATGCATTTCCAAATCACAGTGCGCGCAGAATACTGTGGAAAACGCACTTGCAGAGCATTTCAAAACTTAGCGACCAAAGCCGACGCAAGGCAACCCGAAAAACAGGGAGAAAACGACGCATGTGGCAAACACGGTCCCAACCTCCAGACCTCCAAAGCGAGAACCCTTCACTACCAATTCGGGAAAAACATTAGAAATAATAGAAAGACAAGAAAAACATGTGTCAAAGGTCTTGGGAGCAGGTCTGGGAGGGGTCGGGGGTCCAGCCAAGAGTCTCAAAAGATTTTGTTGGGTTAGTCTTCAGGCTCTTCAGGGTTTCCTCAATGATTGGCGATGATTGTGTGAAGACAGTTGGACGTCTGTGTGTGTGACTATATATTTTACTATAAATGCAAATATATGTATATAGTAAAATGAGATGAATAGCCAGCAAGAAAGCGACATGACAGCAATGCTCAATGAACTGAAAGCCAAAAGCATCTCCGATCCCGCACCTTTACAACCACTGCCACGCCGCAAGGTATCATACACAGGAACTGGGTAATCTGCAACAGGGTGACGTACCGTTTCCATGGGGTAGATACTTTCAAGACCTCAAGGCAACATTTGCGGCAGAAACTCCTGCCAACTTGTCACAAATTTTACCATTCAAATGTTCACGCATTTTTTTACCAAAGTCGCCAATTTCTGGTTGGCCCTATGAATGCATTCAGCCTGGGCACCTTCAAGGCAAAGAAAGCGTACATCACAATGTGAACGAACGTGTTCAAAATGACGCCTTGCACAGACAGAAGGCCTGTAATGCTTGCGAAAAGGCCCTGCGACGTCAGGCCTATGAATTGGAGGCTCATTCGGTATTCCAGCCATGACCACACCATCACCTGCAGCAAGGCGCACATGCTTGCATTGCAGTTAAACATGACAAAGTGCGAACACGGTCCACTGCAGTCAACAAGAGAACTGTGCAGCGTCGCCACCGGCACAAGGGCGTGGTGATAGACATGTAACAAGAAGTGCTTCGGCCTGAGCAGCAAGGGTTCGAGTAACACCCGGCCGAACCCATTCCATGGGACACGCCAAATCTCACTGAAAATTACGGCAAAACATGCAAACTCAGTCGCTTACTGCGAACGAACCGGAACCCAGAAAATCCATGAAACTTTCACCCGTGTGCTGTGAAGCTCGTCTTTATAATAAAGGTGCTTTTGCGTGCGACCTACAGAGAACAGTGCCTATTGGGCCTCAACGCATTTCTTGTACTTAATTGTGTATAAACATACTGAACTCTTGTTTTTTGATCACTAGAATGATGGCTGAAAATATTTTCAGCACAAGGCGGCGGAAGTTTCCAAGATAAGCTATAGGAAAGGTTCTTTGGCTCTAATGTGCATGACCGAGGGAAGTGGGTGGAGCGCCAATGTCCGTCTATCTGGCCATCTGTCTGCTAGCTTTCCATTTGTCGATCTTTCTGCATATCTGCCAAATCTTTCTATCTGCCTGTCTGTCTATCTATTGGTCTGCCAATCTATCGATCAATCTGTGCATCTATCGGTCGATGCGTCTATCTGTCTATCTATCCCTCTATTTATTTATCTACCTGTCTATCTAACAGTCTATCTACCCATCTATCAATTTATCTTGATAATCGTCTAGCTGTCCATCCATCTGTCTTTCTGTCTATCTATCTGCCTTATCTGCCTCTCTCTCTCTATCTATTTAGCTCACTAGCTATGTATGTAATTTTATCAAACCAAGTATCTATCAATTCACCCTCTATCAGTCTTCTAATCTATCTACCCATCTGTCCGTCTGTGGATCTAGCAGTCTATTTTATCTAGGTATCTATCTAATCCCCTATCTGTCTCTCTAGCTATGCATCTATCTACCTAACTACCTATCTATCAACAAATACATCTATCAGTCTATCTATCTACCTATCGCTCTCTCTATCTATCTTTCTGCCTAATTTTCTGCCTATCTATCGATCTACCCATCTATCAGTCTGTCTATCTACCTGTCTTTCTATCTACCGGTCTACCGTTCTATCTATCTATCTATCTATCTATCGTCTGTTTTGTAAAGTTCAACTGTACTTGTCAACGTTTTGTGTTCACAATTGTTTCCCTGCACGCGCTGTCACTTGTCTGTCCTTTTGTCTCTCACTTGTCAAATGGTTCAAGGCCTTGACGAGCACCATCTGTCTGTAACATGTTTCTCTATCTGTCTGTCGATCCATCTGTCTATCTACCTATTACTATCTAGCCATCTATCTTTCTATCTGTCGATCCATGTTTCCGTATATCTATCTAGTTGTCTGCCTGTGCCTGTCTGTGTCTGTCTGTCTCTATCTGCTTGTATATCTCTGTCCACAGAAAAAATGTGCACTGAGATATTTCAACCCTTGCACAAATATATGTCTCAAATTTGCAAATATGTGTCTCAACACAATCTGCAAATAGATGTCTGTCTCAACATCACAACCCTTGCACAAATTTGCCCATCAACGTCAGTTCTTTCCACTTTTCATTGCAAAACGCAAAAACACAAGGCGCTGCGACTTTTTGGAAATTGAATTTCCAAAAGTGCTCCGAGAATTTTTAATACTTTTGACTTCGAAATCGTTAAAAAAAAGCCCTCACTTTTTTGACCACTGATCTCGCCTGAAGGCTCCGCGCACCCCGTTCTATTAAGCCTACTTTTCGACCTTCACCACGGATCATCGTAAAAACCACCGTACATTTCGCGACTTTTCCACCTTTTCACCCCACATGTCTCTTCTTTCTTCTCTGACTCTCTCTTTCTTCTCTCTTCTCTGATCTTTCTTCTGACTCTCTCTCTCTCTCTTGCGATTCTTCGCACTGACCTACCTGCATCTTTCAGTCGGAAGTTTAACTCCTAAACTTCCTTCAATCAGAACCCACCTGACAACGAACAGTTTCAGAGAAGATTCTAATGATTCTATCATTGGGGTTACAATTTCAAATGTAGATGCGCAAAGAGCACGCAAACAAAGACAAGCGGAGACCCGCAGGTGCAAGAATCAGAAGATACGTGAAACGCTTTCTTTGCAAAAAGGCTGTAAAGTGAATTTACACAACTTCTCTTCGAGAGTAGAAGACACTTGAGAAAGAAATGTGTCTCTGGACGAACAAACCTTCCGAAAGAGGAGCTCTTCTTCGAAAAAGAAAGCGCTTAATACAGATGCTCTTTGAAAACGACGTCGATTTAGAAAGAGAAGAGATTCTGCCTTGTTCATGATTGAAAGATTCTCCTTCGGAAAAAAGGCCGAACGAGACAGAATTTTCCATCGAAAACAACAAAAAACAACAAAAACAAATCAGCGTTCGAAAAAAAAACAAAAAAAACACGGTTTAGAAAAACGACAAGTTCCTGCTCAACAAGAAACATACAAATTCAAACAGATAGTTTGCAAAACAATGTCAAGAGAAGTTTCTAAAAACAGATTTCTATGTTGAAAAACATCCTCTCAACAAATAAGGCTATTTTAAAGACTATTTCGTCTTTAGAACAATTTTTTATCTGCCACTCCAAGATTCCGAGATCCCAGAAACAAAGCCTCCGCGATACCGTTGCCAAGTTCGATATCTCTCTATATTCGAGCTTCATTAGACCATCCTGGAAAGCTGCGTGGCCAAATTTCATCCGTTAGCCCCTATGTATGTGGTTTACAGCAGGTCCCGTATTTTTTCACAAATTATTTTCCGTGTATTTTTGAAGATTTTTCTCTGGTCCCAGACGCAGGCAAGCAAGCAGTCAAGCCAGCAAGCAAGCCACCAGGGAAGCAAGCAAACAAGCAAGTAAACAAGTCAATTTCAATAGCACTAAGCACTAAAACCATCACCCCACACCATACAGTGTAAAACCATTCACCAAAAGAACCTGAAACCATAAACCTTGAAACCATACACCCTGAAACCGATAACCCGAAAACCATCAACCCTAAAACCATAAACCCAAGAACATAAAACTTAAATCCAAAACACCATAAACCCGTCAACCCTAAAGCCATAACCCCCACACCATACAGCATAAGACACTTCACCCATCAACCCTAAAACCACAAACCTAAAAGCATAAACCCAAACCCTTAAAACCATAAACTGATCAAATCTTGGAAATTCAATGGAAGATAAGAAGGTCGGACATCCCAAATGTTGCAAGAACCAGGGAAAATGAAAGGTAAGATGTCCTAACCCCTCTTCCGGACATCCTGATACCACCAGACCCAAAGAGGCATAGCGCCCCCCATGCATTGAAATTGCCATGCCAAGACCCTACCGGGAAAAAAACGAAAAAATGGAGAAACAAACTGCCGAGAACCCTTATGTTTACCACGAGAATCTGTGACGGTCACCAAAACTGGCGAATACCGGCAACATGAATCCAAGTAAATATGAACATAGTATATGTTACTGTCGACAATCATATTAAAGAGCCGGGTCCGTGCAGAAGAGACCGCGAGAACAACCTGCCTCGAGCCGTTGAGAACGGCCAGGAAAGTATCCAGCAACTCGTAATATTTACTGGCCTCAGACGCAGCGGGTTTGCACTTCGCTTTGGGATGGCTTGACTCAATTGCTGAGGCTGCTGCATAGAATGCATACGACCAAAAATACAAGGGACCGCGGGCAGCCACATGGGAGTTTTCACACAGCCTCATGGATTATTAACATCTTGAAGACATCTTGCAAACATCTTGGATGTCGCAGCAAGGACCACGTGAAGCTGCAGAAGATCTTGAGATCTGCACATCCAATCTACGGCGCCCTCACTCCACGCCCGTGCACCAATCTCCCATATGCATCCACCACAAAGGACAATGGAAAGGCCGCCTTGGACAAACTCAATGCACTTGACAACGTTTTGAAAAGTTTGTGCTCAAGGCTTGACTCGACTCATTTTCCAACTTTGAGGTTAGGATCATCATGTGACTGTTGGGCTGTCTTGCAAGTTCATGTTCACAAGATCTTAGATCCATGCTGAGAAAAATATTGTGAACCAGGAACACCCTCTCAAGAGGAAACCCACCTTCTGGCACCTGGGAAATCGCCATTGCGCATGGTCGGATTTCAATTTTAACGAAGGCTCTGTTCAACATGAAACGCACTCTCTTCGTCACGTGGGACAGCCAGTTGCTGGGCATCACATTCTTGTCGACGACAGAGACGCCCCATCAGCCAACAACTGGGACTGCAACTCCACTGTGTTGCGTATATCTTAGCTCGAACTACTTGTGTCTGCTCTGAGTCCATTGAGTCCATTGCCAAATGCAGAAGAAGAAGCACGGCCACAAGGTAAATCAATCCTTGCTGCGAACAGGAAGAAGTTTCATGCGTGATATGCTAGCCAGCCTTTGATACAAAAAAAAGAGCTTCATTCATGGCTCATTACTGGTTGCCTCAATCCTCAATCCATAACTGCAGTGTTGCTACTCCTTTCTGCTCGCTTCCTGCCTGTGATGATGGGAAATGTCAGTGAGGAAAGCGGAGCTCCCTTCCACTCAAAATCAGAATACATGGCACCTGGCCAATCCTGGCGCTGACAAACAGTCACTTCAACTCTGAAAGAGACATGATGGCAAGATTTCGGCATGTCAAGTGAACATGACTTGGCTAAGTACGTTTAACTGGGGAAACTGCCTTTCATTTTGGGATTGATAGTTGCCAGGAATGAGAGACCTTGAAACCATAATGAACCCAAGCCTCAGGCCTCAATCGGTCAGCAAGAGAGCTAAAAACTCGTAGTTCGGCAACTTGAGCCAAAATTCTCGAAATTTCCCGTGTTATCCACATTTGCAAATTGAGCTTGCTAAGTAAGCGCCCTCTTCCCTACAAGATGGTTGTGAAATAATTTGCAGAAGCTCCAAACAATTTGCATCAAGTCCACTGCTCCCGAAGCATCCCGAAAATCCAACAGCTCGAAGGATCTCAAACTTTTTGGACGAGGCATTCGGCTGCAGGCGTTGAAGGATGAGTCGATCATGACCCAGCATCGGTCTACATCCATGGTGACTTTGGCGCTGCAATTTTTGAAGCTGCCACGGTCTGTAAACGTCGCTGCTGGGGGCCCATGACGTCAACCAGTCAGACCAGCCCAAACCAACATCAACATGTCACTAACCTTTGGCATTTCATTATTTTTCCCTGTACATCACACGATCCAAACGATTTACAAAGCACAACTTTTTTCTACATTTTTCCAAAGGACAAATGGTTTCAACGCACATCTTCTTTCTACGATTTCCAACGCATTCAATGCTCAAAGCACAATTTGTCAAAATATTATCCGAAGGAAATGATTTCAACACGCATCTTCTTTCTACATTGTCCAAAGGACATGATTTAAACGCACATGTTCTTTCTAGATTCTACATTTTTCAAAGCAATTGATTTCAAAGCACATCTTCTATACTAGATTGTTCAAGAAAATTGATGTTCAAAGTTCAAAGCATGTTTTCTACATGTTCAAAAGGATTGTACTTTCAAAACACATGCGTTTCTATATTTTCCAAAGAACTTGATTTCAACGCATATCTTATCTCTATTTTTTCCAAAGGCATTGATTTTGAAAGCTCCTCTTCTATACTATATATTTTTCAAAAGAAGTGATTTCAACACACATCTTCTTTCTACATTTTTCCAAAGGAAATTATATTCAACGTACATCTTCTTTCTACGATTTCCAAGGCTTTCAATGTTCAAAGCACATAATTTTCAATATGTTTCAAGGGAAAGGATTTCAACGCACATCTTCTTTCTACATGTTCCAAAGGAGTCGATTTTAACAAATAAGTTTCTTTTTACATGTTACAGTACAAAGGAATTGATTGCAACGCATGTTTTTTCTACATGTTCCAAAGGAACTGATTTCAAAGGACATGTTCTTTCTAGGTTCTTCATTTTCCAAAGGAATTGATTTCAACGCACATCTTCTATACTATTTTTTCGAGGAAATTGATTTTCAAAACACATGTTTTCTATATGTTCCAACGGAATTGATTTCAACGCACATCATCTTTCTATATCGTCCGCAGGAAGTGATTCTGAAAGCAGATCTTCTTTCTACATGTTCCAAGGCAATTGATTTCAACACACATCTTCTTTCTACATTTTCCAAAGGACATGATTTCAAAGCACATCTTCTTTCTACATGTTCCAAAGGAATTGATCTCAACGCACATCTTCTTTCTACAGTTTCCAAAGGACCTGATTTGAGCACATATCCGTTTTCTACATGTTCCAAAGGAATTGGTTCTCAAAGCACATCTTCTTTGTATGTGTTCCAAAGGAATTGATTTCAATGCAAATCGTCTTTCTGCATGTTCCAAAGGAATTGATTTCAACGTACATTTTCTTTCTAGATTCTATATGTTCCACAGGAATTAAAGGTGTCGCAAAAAGCACATCTTCTATACTATATGTTTCAAGAAAATTGATGTTCAAAGCATTTGTTCTACATGTTCAAAAGGATTTTCTTTTCAACACACATCTTCTCTCTACATGTTCCAAAGGCATTGATTTTGAAAGCACATCTTCTATATATCTTTGAAAAGAAGTGATTCCAACCGCGCATCTTCTTTCTACATGTTACAAAGGAATTGATTTCAGTGCACGTCTGCTTTCTACAATTTCCAAAGGAATTGATTTCAACAAACATGTTCTTTCTATGTATTCCAGATAAGAAAAAATGCAATGCACATCTTGTTTCTACACTTTTCAGAAGGAATTGATTTCAACGCACGTTTTCTCCCTACATGTTCCAAAGGACATGATATAAACGCACATGTTTGTTCTACATGTTCCAAAGGTTTTGATTCTCAAAGCACATTTGCCTTCTTTACTTGTCACTAAGATTTATTTCAACGCACATCCTGTTTCTACGTGTTCCAAAGAAATTGATTTCAACTCACATTTTCTCTCTACATATTCCGAAGGACACGATTTAAACGCACTTTTCTTTTCAAAGCTCATTGGTTTCTATATTGTCCAAAGGAAACAATTTCAACGCACATGTTCTTTCTACATTTCCCACAGGGGTTGATTTTGAAAGCACATCTTCTGTACTATATATTTTTCAAAAGAAGTGATTTCAACACACATCTTCTTTCTACACTTTTCCAAAGGAATTGATATTCAACGTACATCTTCTTTCTACGATTTCCAAGGCTTTCAATGTTCAAAGCACATAGTTTTCAATATGTTTCAAAGGAAATGATTTCAACGCACATCTTCTTTCTAAAGGAGTTTGATTTCAACGCACATCTTCTGTCGACATGCTCCAAAGGAATTGATTCTCAAAGCACAGTTTTTCTATAATTTCCAGCGGGTTCAATGTTCGAAGTATATTTGTTTTTGTTGTCCAAAGGACTTGATTTCAAGGCACAGTTTTTCTACATGTTCCAAAAGAATTGATTGTCAAAGCACATGTTCTATTTCTTTCGAACAGGTTCAATGTTCAAAGCATATTTTTTCCGCATTTTCCAAAGGAATTGGTTTCCAAAAAACTTGTTTTTTTTCGAACGGGTTCAATGTTCAAAGCACATCTTCTTTCTACATTTTCCAAAGGAATTGATTTTCAAAGCACGGTTTCTATTTTTTTCGAGCGGGTTCAATGTTCAAAGCACATCTTGTTTTCCCCATTTTCCGAAGGAATTGGTTTTCAAAGCACTTTTTCTCGAACGGGTTCAATGTTCACAGCACATCTTCTTTCCACATTTTCCAAAGGAATTGATTTTCTATTCACGGTTTCTATTTGTTTCGATCGGGTTCAATGTTCAAAGCACATCTTCTTTATATATGTTGAAGAATTTGATTTCAACACACATCTTCTTTCTACATTTCCGAAGGGTTGAATTTTCAAGGCACATCCTCTTTCTACATCTCCTAGGGGTTTTATTTTCAAAGCACACCTGATTTCTACATTGTCCAACGGGCTGAATTTACACACAGAGTACGAGTCACAGTTCAAGGGTAGCTTAGTGTCACAAGGAGCACGGATCAAGTCCTCCCAAAGATGCATAAAGTAATGGAGCAGCGGCATGGACAACATGGACAACATTGACAAGCAGCTCAAGAAGGGAAAGTAAAATGTTTGGCAAACGAGTTCAAACGAGAAACCAATGAGCAAATGTTTGGCAAACAAGAGATGTGATCAACTTTGACCCCCTTGATTGGCTTAGTCAGCTAAATTGGCATCTGTTTTTGCTCACAAAATTCATGGAAACATTTTCGCACCCCATCCCTTCCGCTTTTAACACATCCCTTGGATTGGCACCACATTGCCACTGTGAGGCACCCACCGGCAGTGAGGCGCGGCAGTGTCTCATCCTTGGCCAAGAAGTTCTTCACGCTGGCAAGGCCACAGCCCCTGGGCCAAGCTGGTCATGGCAGTGAGGATGCGGTGTATCCCAATCCCAATGAAGAAACATGCAATTTTGGCCAACAGTAATAATAGATATAGAGGAATGCGCGTTGCAGTAATTATCGTTATAGATTTAGAGGATTATGATCTGTTTACCTCTAATGCGCGTTGCAGTAATTATCATTATAGAACTCTAATAATCATTGGATGACCATCCCCTATGAATCACACGCAGCACAGACACAGTCCACTGGTCCATGAGTCACCCCCTTTGCCGGTCGGCAGGTGGTTGTTAACCATACATATTGACCATACCTCGTGTCAAATCTTCCCTTAGAATCGCAGCTCAGACCGACTCAGCTTCGAACGTGATTCATGCCAGCTGCTCCTGTCCAAGCCTCAAAGGAAAGGAGACACAACGACAAAATGTGGAAAGTTGAAGCAGAAAAGTAGCTGCGAAAGTTTGTGGAATAGCTGGGAGGCTTCAATGAGGAAAAGTAGCGGTTGATTGGAAATCATTGGATGATGATGGCTTTGTTGTGCCTGGCTTCCAGTGCTTCATTCGTATTCTCCAAGGCCCCAGCGTCCCCAACTCCTGACACACACCATCAAATCTTCTTTGAAACCAATAAGTCGGAGCTTCAAAAGAATGCCGCTTTTAAAAAAATCTGAAGTTTTTTTAGCACAGGACTCAAAGATCTCTCAAAACAGCCCCTATGGACTCAAATGCAAGGCAGTAAATGCCCCGAGCAGCGCGCAGGTTTCATCTTCTTCGGTACGACCAGCTCTTTGGCGGGAACCGAAGGTCAGAACTTTGCCTCAAAAGTGAATGGACGACTTTCAGTGATGTACTTTTCGTTAATATAGCAAAAAGTTTGGTCAGGGGTCAGGTACTGCCAATCCAAAATGTGCACAAAGGTCCCATGTCACGAGGAAATTTAACTACCTGGCAACCCCCCAAACCAATGCCATTGACTGGAACATGCGACATAGGACTTTAAAGTACCCAATGGATTTGCTGGGGCTGCATGATGGAGATTGCCGAAACCTGGAGGAAGCAATGACGTGGGAAAATTGAAGACACATGGGGGAAGCGCAAACAAAAGATGAGGT